GACTCCAAGGTGGCGCCTTTAAATGTCTGTTGTTCAACCAAAAGTCCAAAGACATCGCATTCACTTTGATAAATCCTCACATTATAAAAAGCTGAAACTAGAGAATGCATTTTTCATATTATTGCTTAAATAATTTTTCTGCCTGAACTGATTAATTAAATGACTAATCAAAAAACCCCATTAGTAAGTAACTTCTATATATATATTACTTTATATTATCCTGTTTAAATTGCCTTCAATATTTGCCATAAACACAGTTTGACACAGTTTAAACTGTTTAAGAATAAAATGTACATCACAGTAAACATAGTATAACATAGTATCAGTATATTGTGATTATCTAATAAACACTTAAGAATCATTTATTTTATAACACACATACATAATAAAATAATAAAAAAAAAAGAACATTTCAAGTTCTAACGTTTACAATGTGAATGAAAACAGTTTAATTAAACTAAATTATAATGCAACAAATTCACTGTTTCTTTTTCCTTCCTCTTCATCGTTGTCTTCCTCAGGCTTTGGGTCTGCCCATCACGGACGCCCAGGTTCTGGAGATGGAAAGCCACGAAAAGGACATTGACTTCGCCATGGCGGCTGACGAGGAACGCAAGCTCAGGCACGATGTCATGGCCCACGTCCACACCTTCGCACACTGCTGCCCCACCGCTGCTCCCATCATCCACCTCGGTGCCACCTCCTGCTACGTGGGAGACAATACTGTAATTAAAATAGACCTTATACAAACGACTATGGCCTGCATTATTCATTGGATTACATGATCAATAATCTCATATTTGTGCTCCGGATTGTCCTGTATGTGTTCCCTTGGAAAAACAGCTAGAAAATGTAATACTGCATTGGGTTTATTTGTGACGTACAAAGTGCTTTTCTATAAAGGTTTTCGTGTTCTCTAAGTTGTTTTGTTTTTCTTCCTCAGGATCTGATTATGCTGCGTGATGGATTTGACATCCTTTTGCCTAAGGTGAGGCTCAGCTGTTTGCCAGAAAACACGCACACCCATCCAGTTGTGCATCTATGAAATTGCCATTTTTTTCCTTTTTCTTTGCCTCAGCTGTTCAGCAACAAATCAACAACGTAGAAATAATTTCCTATCACACCATACGTAGAATACAAATGAGAAATGAGCTTATTAACGTGACGGTTTGTGCGGGCTCAAGTGAAAACGGTGTATTATGCAATAATTCACAGCTAAAAACCCTTTGTTCTTTTTTTCCACAGCTGGCCAGAGTCATTGACAGACTTGCAAACTTTGCAGAGAAATACGCTGACCTCCCCACGCTCGGCTTCACGCACTACCAGTGAGTCTGAATGCAGCTGCACCGCTCTGACGCTCGTCGTCCTATTTGCAACCTTGTCACGTGGCTGTGTTTACACGTTTTCTCTCTTCTCTCCTCCTTCTCTCGCTGCGTCTGCTCCCCCTACAGGCCCGCCCAGTTGACCACAGTGGGAAAGCGAGCATGTCTGTGGCTGCAGGACTTGGCTATGGACATGCGCAACCTGCAACGAGCCCGTGATGACCTGCGTTTCCGGGGAGTCAAGGGGACCACTGGGACCCAGGCCAGCTTCCTACAGCTCTTTCAGGGGGACCACGACAAGGTAGAGATAATCAATAAACTAACATGTGGACAGCGATGATGATGATTTTTAAATTCAGAAATCTTAAATATGATTGATCTAAAAATGTAACAATTGTCATGTTTTAATCATTTTCGTTCACCAGGTAGAAGAGCTCGACAGAATGGTGACCGAGATGGCTGGCTTCAAAAAGTACGTTTTACAATGTTTCATCATCATATCTGTTCTCTAATAATAATGGATGTAATAAATAATGGCATAAATGTGATGACACAAAACAAGCAGAATTGGAGATGAAGTTATTTTTGTAATCCAAATGCCACAACCACAATAAAGGTGGCGTCAGGGTAACAGGTAACTTGTAAGACTTTGTTTTTGGCCCTGATGATGTCGTGTCCTGTGCTACGCAGAGCCTACCTGGTGACTGGACAGACATACAGTCGTAAGGTGGACGTAGACTGTCTGTCCAGCCTGGCCAGTTTGGGAGCAACTGTTCACAAGGTAAGCTGCAGGCGTTGGAGACATATAGAGGAATGTTGCCATCTAGTGGATTTACTGGGAGTTTGCAAGCAATGTGATGAACCTACTCCTTATCTGACTTTTTAAAATTAGCCTTCAATATTTGTATAAACTCCTCAAGTCTCATCTTTGATCTGTCTTTCTGCTTTAGATCTGCACAGACATCCGCCTGCTCGCCAACCTGAAAGAAATTGAGGAGCCTTTTGAGAAAGAGCAGATCGGTATATTCACTCACATTCACTCAGTTTCACATTCTGAACATCAAAGGCGAATGATCCTGTAACAGCACATACCGCATGCCAGCATGAAGTTGTCTTCCTCTTCCAGGTTCCAGCGCCATGCCGTACAAGAGGAACCCCATGCGTGCAGAGCGGTGTTGTAGCTTGGCCCGACATCTGGTGGCACTGATGTCCGACCCGCTGCAGACGGCCTCGGTACAGTGGCTGGAGAGGACGCTGGACGACAGCGCAAACAGGTCAACTGCCACACAATCCACAATAGTTTACTGAGATTTTTTTCCCTTTTATGACATGTTCTTTTATGACAAGTCCACCAACAGTGTTACTAAGTAAGAATTGGCTTGTTACTGAATCAGCTCAAGGTATCTGGGCTCTGAATTTGTACTGGAAAGAGTAGGATGGTATTCTTTTTTTTTTTCTCTCATTTTTGTTCTAATTTGACCCCCCTCACTCATGTGCAGGAGGATCTCCCTGCCTGAGTCCTTCCTGACAGCTGACATCATCCTCAGCACCCTGCAGAACATCACAGAGGGGCTGGTGGTCTACCCCAAAGTCATTGAGAGGCACATCCGCCACGAGCTGCCCTTCATGGCCACAGAGAACATCATTATGGCCATGGTGAAGGCTGGAGGGAACAGACAGGTAATGCCGTCGGTTTGAAGCGTGAACAGCTCACGGTTGCTCTGACGCCGTCTCATCAGCTTTGTGCTTAAAATAGCATCTTTCTGCTCCTTCAGGACTGCCACGAGAAGATCCGTGTTCTGTCCCAGGAGGCGGCAGCTGTGGTCAAACAGGAGGGTGGTGATAATGACCTGCTAGCCAGAGTCCAGGGAGACCCCTACTTCGCCCCCATTCTGGGCCAGCTGGACGCCATACTGGATCCCAAGACTTTTATTGGTCGTGCTCCGCAGCAGGTACCGCATAAACAGTCCCACATCTTTATTCCTGCTGCTACTCTGCCATTATAAGAGCCTGTATACATAGCAACAGGCACCCAAAAGGGCTGCGTATTGGCAAGAATTAGGCAATATGATGCGTATCACAATACAGAGGTTATGATTCATAATATTGCCATATATTGTGATTCTAATTTTAGGAAAACTTTTATAGTATAAAGAACACACCACCATATGCATAAAATCTGAGTAAAAAAAGCTGTTTTTTTTTTATGCAACCAGAACAGTTATCAGTCCCTGTAACATCCAACATCACAGCCCTTTTATAACAGTTAGCTATTAATAGTTGGAGGTTTAAATATAAAAGTTGACACAATATCACTAAACAGAATATTGTGATACAACATTTTTCGATATTTTCTTACACCCCTAGCACCCAGACTCAGTTGTTTTTTCTCACAGACTTTAAAGCTTTTCTCAAAAGCCCATCTAGAATGACAACCTTGTGTGTAATCGTGTGTAATTCATTCAGTTCTTTCCTTATGTCATGTCTAGGTGTCCAGGTTCCTGTCTGAAGAAGTACGCCCCCAGCTAGAACCTTATAAGGCTAAGATGGATGTCAAGATTGAGCTTGAGCTCTGACACACACACACACACACAAACACGGAGCCAAGAGAAAGAGACTTCATCATGGTGTGTGGCCTCAATAAATGACAAAATGAATTTATCTCCATGTGTCTCCCAGTGTTTTCATTTCTGTGCTTTGTGAACACTCAAAATCGTACATAGTGTTTTTTAATGAAATATAACTCAAACGGTGATTAATAATGTTGTAATAATCATGGTCCTCTTTATTGACAAGAACCAAAGGTCATATGTGCTTCAAGTGCTTTTACAACCTTCCCCGTCATTTAAAAAATGCTAATTAAATACTTATTAATTATTAATCCACCACATTATGACATCACCTTTACGACTGATCCTGCAATCATCCGCAGACATCGGTTGCCTGAATATGGTTGAGGCTGTGTTTCACACATAATCTAAACTGTTAGGATAATCAGGATCCTGTTTAGAGTTTTCAGACTTTGGGGTTTGTTTTCAGTTAACGGAAAGGAAGAGGTAAACTGTAGAGGAGAGGAAACACTCTGTTAGAACTGGGAGGAACTCGTACAAGAGGTTGTAAATCTAAAAAAGCACCGGCTCAAAGTCCAGCCCAGCCCTTAAAATAGATAGTCATGTTACCGTACTTTACAATGTAATGCACCACTTGATAATTCCCAGTGGAGAGAATAAAGCTGGCTTTTGTTGTTGTCGTTGTTGTCGTTGTTGTTGTTGTTGTTGTTCAGAAACTCAACTTTTTAAAAATACTGGTAATTTTCCGTTGCCATCCCTTAAACTACACCTTTCATCCCCCGGTAACCACACACCACTGTGATCGTATTCATGGTGTACGGCTGACACAAAGTTGGCCTGTCACTGCATGTATGAAACTTCAGGACAAAGTGCAGAAGTGTCTAAGCTCACATCATCTGCTAGTGTCATTATGGTAACGGTAAAGATGGACTGAGCTGAGCAGAGCTGCATCTCAACCCGCAACCAGCAGTTCCCCAGCACAGAGTGAGTACGAATGTCTTCTCTCTCACACAATGTGAAGTTAATTATTTATACTTTATGTTTACTCTACCACTCATAGTTTGGGGTTGTGTGTTTTTCCATAGGAACACTTTGTTTTGTAAGGGAGGGGAGGCAGTCGTGCATGTTTTCCTCCATATGAACCAAGCGGCAGCTGTACTGCAACATGTGGCTGTGGGCATTGCTCCCCGTCTGTCTGGCAGTCTTTGGCACTGTGGGAATTTGGACTGTGTGAGTACTTGGCGTCCTCCTTTATTAACACCTTCTTGCTGTTCTCATTGAGTTTCGCAATTTCATACTCCCTATCTCATTTCCCAAAACTGAATCAGAGAGGAAGTGATCTTTACTGAGGGCTTGTGTGTTCTGAGTGTGAGTTAGTGTAGCAAATGAGGACACACAAACAGCAGCATGTACAATGGACGAATGGCACCGCAAACCCAGATGTGAGCTCCTGGAGCCGCCACCTGCCTGAACCCTGGGAAAAGACAAGGGAAAGAAAACTGAAAACAATTTATTATTTATTTATTTATATTATCTATTTAAGTGGTAGTGCTTTTGAATACAGGCAGTAAATTAGTTTTACTACTTAGGGGGAATAATAAACTTGCACCAAAGAGGTATTTGATTCCCTGATACATATATAATGTATAATAAATAGACAGGGGACCAAAATGAGCTTATTTATGTTCTTCTACATGAGCTATGTCATGAAAAGTTTAATATATATAAAAATACTGACTTCTTTAAAAGGTTACCCAGAATGTAATTGCCATAGCATTTGTTTTGTTACTATATAATAAATTCAATATAAATGATACTGTAAGTAATTTGAATGAAGTCTGGACACATTACTAGCCTATTTTCCCAATTTCCCCCTGTCTTCTTACCCAGTAACAATATTACTGCACTAGTAGGTAGGTAATCAGTAATAAAAAACAAAACAAACAAAGTTAGTGTTATTTATTTCTAGCTCCCTTGTACTTTGTCTCAGTATGACTACCCAGTATTTTATAGATATATATCGTATATACTAAACAATTATACTGTAATTTTCCTATAATCTAAAACAGTGGGTTCCCAACCTGGGGGTCAGGAACCCCAAAGAGGTTGCGAGATGATCCAGGGGTCGCCAAATGGTTGTAGAGAATAAAATAAAATAACATATTGTGGCAAGCAGCTCGGAATGAGAGACAGGAAGCAGCTCTCAGTGATATCAGCAAAATAAATAAAATGACAATGACATGCAGTTGTACATACATTGTTACCTGGGGAAGTGGTTGTTTTAAAAGAAGAGCCAACAGATGTTTGCTCTGATAACTTATCATACAGTGTTTCCATGTAAGAAAAAAAAAAGAGGAAGAGTTATTTACCCTGCTATGCATTTAGGGTGCAAGCTGAGCTACAATGTAAGGGTTACTTTCTTCCCATCAGATTTGCTGTAGCTGTAACAAATGGATCAGTGAACCTCACAGAAGGAGTCCCTTACATCAGGTTGGTACGATTCCTCTCTGTCCTGCGAGATGATGAAGAACAAATAAAGTATTTAAAGTGAACTTAACAAACCAATTTTTTAACAAGTTCATGTTGAATGATAATGATTCTATTTTCTCACTCTCCCTTTAGTCAGTGTGGCACTTACAACCCTCAGAGCTGTCTCTTTGCCCAGATCTGCAACATCTGCTCTGTTTTAGGTAATGACAGATATGTTTATGCCATTCTTGCTAGCGGGAGTTCTGTCCATCGTATGCTCCAACCTGCTTCAAAAGTAACTTCAAGCAGCTATTAATCAGGGCTGTAGCAGTCCACTCCTTTTGAAGTCTTGGACGTGTGCCTGATTTTTAATTTAATTTTGTCTCTTTCATGCTATGGACAGATTGAGATACTGCACACGCAGCAGTCCTCAGATTTCTAGTTGTTGATCTGTCCGTCTCTGTCCTCTGTTGGATGTTGGTGGTTGCGGATTGAATTGATTTCTTATTTTCCCAACATATGGACCATTTTAAGATGACACTGTTTTCCTTTAATCGTAATTATTTTCAAGTGACTTCTCTGTGCCTCTCAGCTCTGTGGATAGTGGTGATCCGTTTCCAGCAGGTTAGGGATTTCGGTACCCATGGAAAGGCTAATATTGCCAGCATTGTTTTAGGATTCATCTCCTCTGTGGGAATCTCTGTCATTGGAAACTTCCAGGTAACGGCTTACAAAAAATAATCATACAAATAATTATTAATAACTTTTCATTTTTTCCCCCAAACCTATAAATAATCTATCTTCTCCCTCTACATGCTACTTAGCAATCAGTCTTGAAGAGTATTCACCTTTTGGGAGCGTTCCTGGCTTTCTTCGTCGGCATGGCCTACTTCTGGGTGCAGCTGTTTCTAACCTATCGGGCTCAGCCGTCTCAGGACCGATGCTACATTGGGCCTGCCAGGGCGACCTGCTGCATCCTCTGTACCATCTTGGTCATCAGTAGTATCCTTCCTACTACGAAATTAAATTCAGAAAAGAAGAAACAACACATTATGTCAATATATAATATAATCCATAAAACTGGATTTCAAATAAGATAAACACTGTTAATTATCTTACATTTCAACAATTTATCTTTAGCCGTTTTTATCTACAGAAGGAGTGATCTTCATTAATTTTCCATTGTTAGTTGTGTTTGAGAATTGTACATGAATATATTGGATAGATATAACATCATCTTTTTGAGATGACATATTTATTTCATGTTGAATTGCACTCTACTTAAAGCATGATCTGTAACCACACAACCACAAACCATAACAGGAAACTCCAGAGAGGTACAAGAGGAAGGTGATCAGAACACAAACTTAAAACTACATCTTATGGGTCACGCAAAAGTAACATGCAAAATCCCATTTTTACAACATGTTTTGATTCACTATTGGATTTAATATGATGAGTATTTATTTAGTGTTATGTTCCTTAACCACGCTCCCCTCCTTCAGTGACTGTTCTCCACAATACAGACTATCCCTCCGAGGCCGCTGTGTGTGAATGGGCCTTGGTCATGGTGTTCTTCTTGCTGTTTGGCCTTTTTGCAGCCGAGTTCAGACACATCGACTGCCACCACCTCACTGTACAGAAACAGGCTCCTGGGAATGACTGCAGCACTCCCTCAATAGAAATAAATAGTTATCTCGCAAAATGCACTTAGCTGAAAACACAAACACACACACACAACACACACACACACACACAGCACACACACACACACACTCACACGGTTGGAAAACAACAATCCTGTACAGTTGCCATATTGTCTAATGCAGGTCTAATGCCGTATAGAGTTTGCTTGTCTTTCAGTGACTCAACTGGGAGTTTCTGATATTTCTATTTATTATATATTTTCCATTTTGAAATATACAATAACCTTCCATGATACACAAATAAAGATTGTAAAAAACACATTATGTTTCTATTTCTTTAAAATGATAATCTAGCTATTGTTTTTATGACTAACTGATTTCCTTGCCTGCCCATAAAATGGCTTGTTTTGTTCAACACCAGATTTTAGTTTGGTCACATTAGACAGAAAAAGATCCCCACAGTTGAGAAGCTTAAACTAAAGAAGTTTAGGCTTGAAAAATAACTTGAAAGATTATTCAGTGTTTAAAATAGTAGCCGTTTGTGTTTCTGCTTTTAGTCGACTGATTGTTTCAGCTCTAAAATATATAGTCAAAGCTGCATGTAATTGGACAGAGCTTATAAAACTAAACCTGCACTGCAATAAATATGTACTAACACATGGTGGCGACGTTCCACTATCATTGACTGTGTTATTCAGTAATCTCCATTTAAATTGAACTATATATGAGCAATGTATTCGCAGTTGAATCACTTATAAAAACATCCATGCATATATTATCTCTTCTCATATATTTATATCTCTATAACTCTGTAACACAGTCTCCATCTTTTCTTCTCCATTAGTACATAGACAGTGAATACCAGGAAAAGTCTGCTCTTTTTCCCGCTCTCTCCCCACCTGTCAGCTGGGCAGTACAATAGAGGAAGGGGAATAGAAAAGGAGGATGGAGGTACGTATGAAGGAAAAGTTTTGTTAGCAAGAGAGAAAAAAAAGTTCCCTTATGACATAATGAGAACTGTTTCTCACTATTAGATACATTTCATGTGCTTTTAATTTGAAGCACATAAAGTCACTAATAAAACCTCTGTAATACAAATTTAAATATTTGTTAGTCTAGCTGAGGTTTCATCTCTCTACAGCACTATAGATCCTCCTTTCTTTATTATAAAATCCTCTTTGAACATTAGAGATGCCCTTCAACATCCCCACAAACAGCACCGACCAGCAGTGGCGCTGTGGAGCGATGCTGGCTGATGATCATTTCACTGATGGGAAAATGCAGCTCTGGTGCCGTGCCAGCATGTTTTTGGAAGATGCCTCTAGTTTAAACAGAGGTTCTACATTCAGCACAATTTGTCAGGGCTATTTGAGATGGGCAAAACAATGGAGCTCTCATAGCCATGCCGATAGTGGGAGAGGTCCTACTCTTGGCTCCAGCACTCAAACTGTTCATCTCATCCAAGTTCTCTGTTTATTTAAACATATTGTCTTGGGGTATGTTGGCACTGACTTTGGTCGCACTTTGTGATCAAATCTTCACTTTTGTTTGTATCTTTTATTGATGTCATTAAAAAAAAAATCACTGGGGCCATGTAGAGAAGCTTGAGATGGGAATACTGGGCCCCCAGTGTCCTGCTGTGTCCCGACAGCATTCTTTCACATACTCCATGCTGTGTGATCACCAGAGGGGGGCTTTGACGAGCCGGCACAGGGATCAGACGGACAGCTCGGAATTCTATGGGAATTTCTCAAGTGCTGTTAGTTACCAGTGTTTCTGCTGCAGACGGCATGCAGATTTTACACTTGCAGTTAACAATGCTGTCTCAGGTCTCTGATAAACTTGTTTACTCCAGCTGACTGCCAACATGAACTTCAGGTCGCTCTTGTGATGCCTGTATTTACTCCAAAATGCAGATGTGGACTGGGTTCATTTGGAATATTTAAAAACCAGAGAACTTGTTTTGGCCTACCTTGCATACAAACTTTTGAGCCAGCCAAGAATCTGACACATAAGTTCACCTCAGATGGTGTAAATATTTTTTTGAAAGTGCTATCTATCTTGGCGAGGTCTGTTGAAATGACAAAATGTTCTTGAATTATACAGCAGCGCATACAGAGGAATCCAGATGGAAAGCATTGGCGCCAAAATACTCTTAACCCTGCTGTTTTCATTAGTGAGTATAAAAGGCTTCTGATAAAGTAATAAAACTCATAAAATCACCTGTAGCGATGTGCAAAGACTGGGAGGCCCTTGATGTAAATGTCAGAAAAAGGTCTGGATCGTCTATTGTAGTGCAGGAGAACATGCTTTATGTGACGCCCGCCTTGTTGCTTTTGACTTTGATTCAAGAAGGAGGTAATAGCAGACATGCTTTCTAGGCCTATACTGTAATCTCTCCTAACACCTGCTTGTGCTCTAGTCTCTCTTATCCCCTCAACAGCTCTTGGCCAGAAACAACAGTAATGCTTTCCTATCATGCAGCGGAGCAGTCGCCTCCAAGTCCCGCTATCAGACATCGGAGAGGTAGCCCTTAGCCGCTCGGTTTCTCCGTGACTGTGCAGCCTGTCAGCTCTTATCATCGGAGAGCCAAATCCTGTGCATTCCATCTCGAAAAGGCCACTTTATCGGCAAGACAGCTGGATGTGACAAACTTGAATGTTTTAGAGAGGAACGGGAGTTAAGTGTTGGGGGAGAACAGTTGATGGAGAGGCGGAGGGATAGTAACACGGCGAGAATGACAGACACAGAAGAGAGATGGGATTGTCCAGAAGTCAGAGATCTAGAGAGAGATATAGAGACCTACAGACAGGCAAGAGTCTCAGAAAGATGGACTGAGCAATAGAGACAGAAGAGAGAGAGAGAGAAAGAAGAGTGGGCACCAGCAGCCGTGATCTCACCCTCCTCTCCTCTCCTTTGGCATTGGCTTCCAGAAAGCTGCCCTTTTGCTGAAAAATGCCAAGCGCACCGCATTCCACCGGCCACACAAAGGCCCTCCCTCGTCTCAGCTGCACAGGCACAATCAGACAAGGGATAATTATATAATTAGGCTGGCTGGTGCAGACAGGGACCCTCAGATGGTGTGTTGGTGTGTCATATTTATGTTATCAGACAATGAAGAGAGTCTGGCCTTATCAGAGGAGGCAGCAGAGTGTGTGGGGGGCTCCAGCTGTGGCACTTAGGAACAGATTGTCATGATACAGAAGAACGGGTCGATAGAATGACCTTCAGCCTGTGGCCTGGCCCGAGATCAGGGCCTGTATTGTGGCTGAGCCTTGGTGTGTATGTGTGTTGGGTTACTGTGATATGTGAAGAGGTGGGGACTTTCGGGGCTCCAACAACCAGGCGATACAAACTGACAGGAGGCGAGAAACATAGAAGGCTAAATTATAGTTAAGCAGAGAGAGAAGAAACGACTCATTTATATTCGTGCAGATACACGTAAACATGCAGGGGTTCCAAACCTTTTTTGTGTGTACCTCCACAGCCCTGTCTGAACTCAAGTAGGGGAGACCGGGGCTTGTTGTCACACGGGTAAGTTGTCACATTGCAATTATCTTCTCCACCAAGGGGCGCAACTAAAAAGTGGAATACTAGTTTTCTTCCTTTACATGTCAGTTGTTTCATGTTCCTGTCTGAGGTTCAGAGAAACAAGAAAAACAAGGAAAGGAAAAGAAAAACATGACAAGAAATGACACCAGCTAAAGAGCAAATTTAATGCCAACAACCATAAAAATATAACATATAAGTAGAATTTCTAAGTGAGTATTCTTCTAAATAAGAGAGCGATTAGAGTTCCTCACCATGTATAAAGAATACCTTTCTAAAACATGTTCACAGATTATGATACTAATTAGTGGAACACTTAGTTATGAGTGCGAGACCGAGAAATATAAATTCCGCTATCTCCATGTCTTGTCCCATAATATAGCAATTAGGTTGAATTTGAGATTATTAACTAAAATTTATACAAAAGAGCAATATATGAGAAGAGAGATAAGAATAAAGAGTTGTAACCATGATTGGTAAGTTATTGGGACAAATAACTGTGTATACTTATGTGCAATATATTGGTGACGATCGATCATAGTTGTCACACGTAAGGACAAGATTATAAACTCCAAATCCAATTTAAACATAATAATGAACAAAAAGCACTCGAAGGAAAGACACACCATTAGAATACGGGCTGATTGGCTCTGCAAAGGTGAGAGTGAAAAACTCCAGATGACTCCTCATCGGTAGAAAGTTGAGTATCGCTGTGTCTCCTCAGTCCTGGGATTGTAGAGTCATTTTGGGAGAAACCTGGGGTGGCAGTGCATAATATTGCAAAGGGATTGGCCCATTGGAAGAATGCACCCCTGCGCTAAATCAGTCTACGTTATGCAGAACGCTTGCCAATTGGTGATGATGGAGTCTATGACTATGAGGAAATTGTTTGTCAGTTTTTGTTTTGAGGTTTTTAGGAATGGGATTTCCAGTTGCTTTTCAGGACTGGTTTAAGTTTTTGCTAATTGAAACAATGCTTTCTTTTTTTGTAATTCAATTCAATCTGGAAATTTGAGCTTAAGAAAGGTAAAACAGGCATTTGGAGTCTGAGATCTTTTTTATATGATGTATAGATTTCCAAGAAATTATATAAGGAGGTGTTAAAAAAGTGTGACAACAAGCCCCGGTCTCCCCTACCTCTTTGTTCCAAAAGTGATCGTTAGATATTATCTAACACTAATGCTTATAAAACAGTGGATATTTTTACATTATTTTTTATTTTAACTATCCCAACTATTTATCCACTCCTTTGAACTTTATCACCTTTGATTCATTACTTGCAGCTGTTTAAACTTCTTTGCTCCGTTGCTAACTCCTTATTTTACACACTCTAGACGCACGGTGGTGTTCAGGTACATGAACTCAGTACATGGATGTCTAAAAATAAAAAGTAATTTCTGTTTTTCTCCCAAACATGCACCCCTAGCAACTGCACATGTACCCCTGGTTGGGGAATCTCTGCACTAAATGACAACTAGAATTTGCAGCCAAACAGAGAACACCACCTCTTCCCTCTTGTTGAAGCAGGATTCACGCTCCCAGACGAGAATCGAGCCAGTGTCCCGCTCAGTTGGCCACCACCCAACAATCTCCCCTCGCACCGTGGCCTTGGCTTTGGGTGTGTCTCCACTCGCACGGGACAGCACAGAATAGACTATTGTTGATCGCGCAAGACAGAGAGCCAGGGGAAGAAGGAGGGGTGGTGGTGGTGGTGTTGGGGGACTGGAGATGGTGGGGGGGGGAGAAATTAGCTTTTAACGAGCGCCCGAAAAGCACATGGACAATGAAACATGGCTCTCCTCCCAGTTACATGCATGTGCACTGCATAATGTGCACACATTTATATGCACACACACTTACAAACATGTCTTCCTTCAGTATTTCTAGATACAAAGAGCTCATGAG